TTTATGATTTTGAGTTTTGTTCCACAGTGTTCTCCCACTCTATCCAGGATCTCCTGCACTGATCCCTTTCTGAGTGGTTGACAGTGGTAGCCGGGCACCATCTAGTTCTTCTGGTCTCCTGGTCATGTAAGCTTAGGATCGTATGGTATACTAGTCCCGTGGACTCATTGTTTCCATGTGTCTTTGGAAATAGTCATTTAAGGATGTTAGTAGTTATCTTACGGTCATAACAGAAGAGGGAGGGTTCTACTCCAACAAGACTGGTGGCCTTAAAAGGAGAGAAGACACAGAGGAACACAGAGGGAACATGGCCACAAGATACTGAAGCTGAGATTGGAGAGATGCTGCTAGAAGGTCAGGAATGAAGGCAGACCTCAGAGACATTGCAGGTTCTGTTCCAGACCCCTGCACTGAAGCGCATATTGCAGTAAAGTGAGTTGCGCACATTTTGTGGTTTCCTAGTACATAGAAAAGTTATAATAACATGCTACTTTGGTCTAGGAAGTGTGCAATGAACAAAAGTAAAAGTGCAACTCACTGCCATTGAGTTGATTCAGACTCATGCTGTTGTTGTTGTTATGTGCCATTGAGTCAGACCCGACTCCTAGCGACCCCTCCTTGGGTTTCCAAGGCAGTATCATTACGGAAGTAGATTGCCCCATCTTCCTTCTGAGGAGTGGCTGGTGGGTTTGAACCGCCAGCCTTCTGGTTAGCAGTCGAGGGCTTTAGGCACTATGCAACCAGAGCTCCCAGCGACTGCCATTGGGTTTCTGAGGCAGTAAATCTTCATAGAACTAGATTGCCCAGTCTTCCTTCAGAGGAGTGGCTGGTGGGTTTGAACCGCCAATCTTCTGGTTAGCAGGCAAATGTCTTAAGGCACGATGCTACGAGAGCTCCTTAAGTATGCAACAGCATTATGGAAAAGTTTGAAATATTGTGAGAATGAGCAACATAAGACACGAGATACGAAGTGAGCACATGATGTTGGAAAAAGGTCACTGATAGACTTGCTGGATGCAGGGTGGCCACAAGCCTTCCATTAAAAAACAAAAAACAAAAAATACAAACACTGTATATGCAAAGCACAGAAAGCCATGAAATGAGGTATGCCTGGACCTAGAAGCTAAAAATGCAGAAACCAAAACTAAATTTACTTCTCTCAAGTCAATTCTGACTCATACTGACTCCCATTGGGTGTCCAAGGCTGTCAATCTTTATGGAGGTAGATTGCGCAGTCTTCCTTCTGCGGAGTGGCTGGTGGGTTTGAACTGCCAACCTCCTGGTTAGCAGTCAAATGCCTTAGGCATCAGAGCTCCCTAAAAACTAAAAGAGATGAGAAAAAGTATTTTCTTAGAGTCTTCAGAGAGGGCTTGGCCCTTCTGACACCTTGATTTCAGAAGCCCAGTCTATAGAATTGTAGGAGACGTGAGTGTGGTTTTCAGTCACACTGTGTGTGTGGCCTGGCTACCACAACCCTGGGGAAGAAAATATCTCCTCCATTTGCTGCTGTCTCTTGAAAGATTTTATTTTTGCTGTGTGTGTGATACAGGTTTTGGAATAAAATGAATACACACATATGTACAGAATATGAATGATTTTGTACATTTCAAATTCCCAAGGAAGGAGACTGACGTGCCCTCTTGGATAGCTTTGAAGTATCCACAACCTATTTCGTTTATCATTTGAAGGTTAAAATGTAACCTGTGTTATTATTATTATTTTTTATAGTCCCATAAATGCACTCAACTGCTAACCGGAAGGTTGAAAGTTTGAGTTCCAGCAGAGAGACCTTGGCAGAAAGGCGGCCATCTTCATTTGAAAAATCACCCACTAAAAAGCATAGTGGCTAAGACACTTGCCTGCTAACCAGACAGCTGGCGGTTCAAACCCACCAGCCACTCCTCGGAAGGAAGGTTGGGCAATCTACTTCCGTAGTGATACTGCCTCGGAAACCCAAGGAGGGGTCGCTATGAGTCAGGGCGACTCAATGGCACATAACAACAACAAAAACCCTATGGAGTGCAATTCCACTCTAACACCACATGGGGCGCCATGAACTGGTGTTGACTCTCTGGCAGCTGGTTTGGTGTTTTGGTATTACCTGGTGTTGTGTTTCCTGTGGTCAATGGAAAACCATTTTAAGGACAGTTGTCTGTCCATGTCTAATTGGATCAACTCACGTTGAGGTCCCCAATGTGTTTGACCAGCTGTGAGCTGGGTCATCTTACCATGGTTAGGAATGTTCCTAAGTTTCTCTTTCTTGGACAGAAATTCTCATCATTGGATGCTCCTCCTTCTCCACGTACACATATTTCTTCTCCTTTTTTAATTCAAAACAGGACTTAAGGCAGCCATCTAAGATGCAATTATTGATCTTCACTCATCTGACGCAAAGAACAGTAAAGACAATTAATTAGTCTAAGGTACGACTGGACTGTGGGAACCTGAGACCAGAAGAACTGGATGGTGCCCAGATATCACCATCAATGACTCGGAAAGGGCTCAAAATGGGAGGTCCTGGAGGGAGAAAAATGGTTAACAAAACTCAGAATGATGAATAAGAGAAGGCTTACTGATCTGATAGAGACTGGTGAACCCCCTGACACTATGGCCCCTAGTCACCCTTCCAGCCTGGAATTGAACTCACTCCCGTGGCTTCCAGCCAAACAATGCACAGGTGTATAAGGTGAACTTTTATACCAAGGACTTGCACTCCTTAGAACAATCAATCAGGGGAGGTCAGAAGGGCAGTGTTTGCACAGGGAGACAGCTCAGGGGGCAGGAATGCATAGGAAAGAAGGACACAGTGAAGAGGTCACCCCAGGGAGGAAGTGGGAAGAGAGCGGTTACACCGTGGGGAATTGCAGTCAATGTCATGAAACAAAATGGGTATGAACTGTTGACTGGAAAATGATTTTGTTCTGTAAACTTTCACCCACACCACAAAAATAGTTAAATAATAATAATAATAAAGCAATGCAGGAACTCTGTTATTTCTTCCTTTCTCACTGACATTTACCATTTTGCACTCAAAAAATATTCCTACCAAAAGGCACAGAACATGCTATAGGGGTCACTCACATACCCACTGCATAAATGTGTTTTGTGCTCACAATGTACATCAGGTGATGACGCTTCAGACCTATGGTTTTCAAATAAAACCAAAGCCAAAAAGAGAAACAAAACAAAAACCCAAGTCCAGATAGAGAAAGTTCTGTGCAATGACCCCAGCCCTTTGTGTCCCTCACTAGAAATGACCACCGTTCTGAGCTGGGTGCGGGTCTGTCTGATGCTTGTCTTCCTCCACAGTCAGCAAAGCTCATGAGTTTCCAAAAACTAAAGGCATATTGACACTATGTGTTTTGTGAGCTTTTAAAAACATACTGTAGCTTGACATGGCCATGATAGCTTTTCCCTGTGCTGTGCACTGTTCAAAATTGCTGACTGATGTCCCTTATTTCAGAAATATTTGCTGTTCCTGAGACTAGGAAACTGGACGGGCAAGTTGTAGTCATGACATTTAGCAGCTATGTGTTCTCTTTGGTTCCCAAACCACACCCACTGCCATGGAGTTGATTCCAACTCAGAGCGACCCCCCTCGGGCTGCCAAGGCTGTCAATCTTCACAGAAGCAAAGCCCAAACCACACCCACTGTCATGGAGTCAATTCTGACCCACAGCGCCCCTAGAGGACAGAGTGGAACTGCCCCA